AGCCTCAGTGAATGGTGGGAAGGTGGGATCCCGGGGACAGTTATGAACACTGAACAAAATGACAGGTGTATGGAGCCCGGCATGCAGCTGGCACTTCCTCCATCCTTCCCCAGCCCCTGGCTGTTGAAAGCACAGGGATCACCGCCTTCACACAAACACACACACACACACACACACACACACACACACACACACACACACACACACACACACCAAAGATTGAGTCTGTACTGGCAGGAATGAAACATGTATAAATTAGTCTTCCCACTCCCCAATCCACAGTGTGCTGGCGCCTACAGTGCGNGGAGCTCCTGAAGTGTGAAGGTCAGGGGACCTTTTGGACCAGGGCTGGAAACAAAGGCGCGCAAGAGGTAACTGAAGCCAGCCTGAGGGAGGAGTCACCATGGTCACCAGTGAGGGTCCCCGGTACACTCTTTGGTGGGAGCTCAACCCCTCCCTGGCATTTGTTACTTTATAAGTGTATTTGTTACTTTCTCTCTCTGCTTACCAGGTGGTCTCTGATTCAGGTTTAAACATAAAGGCTTTAAATTAAAGCTGCCATTAGATTATAATGCAACAGTTTGCATTTGAGCATAAATACTTTGTTTTTCACATGTAATATTATGATCCACTTTCCAGCAATATAACTGAAAACAATTTGTGGGCTATGTGTGTGTGGGCAGTCCACCCCCTTCTCATATCTGGTAGTTCTCAAGCGCAGCAGTAAAGACACCCAGTGAGCCCCATAAAAGAAAGAGCCCCTTGGCCTCTCCCTGAGGAGGCCCACCTCACAGCCTCTGCACTGTGGGTAGAGTTCATTACAATGCCAGCTGGGCTCCCTGGCAGAATTATGGTACCTCTTCTGGATGAAGCAAACCCCAGTTCCCTGGAAATCCCTGGGCTACCAGAACAATGCCACCCACCTTTCTCCACCTTAAGCATTCATGCATTGTATCCTCTCTGTAGATGACAATCTGAGACCTTTGACCCCTTTCTGGGGTGGGGGTGGGGAATCTCCTCCCTACTGGGTCCCAGGAAAATGTGGACCACCCACTCAGCCTCCTGACTTTGTAAATACCTAACCCTGGCCTTACTCTCCAGACCTCTTCATCACCCAGAAGTGCTTTGTGTGTCTTAAATCCAAGCCCAGACTCAGGCCATAGCCTCCATCCTCCTTCAGTCTCACTGAGACCTCCATCTGGGTCCCTGTACTTTGTCACATGGTCAGTCCCTGCTGGCTTCACTCTTCTTCTTGTTGGATATATGCCATAAGATGTCAACCCCTTCTTGCCAGGGTCCTCAGCCTCTCACCCCTCCAGGCCCACTATTGTTATACAACTAAGGATGACTCCACCGCTATACCTCCTCCAGGTCTGGTCAGACAGCTGAAGGGGCCTGCAGCCTCATGTAGGCCCTTACTCCCGGCCATATTCCTTCTAAACATATCAGCTTCTCACCGCCTTTCCAACAGTAGCAGTTATTTCAAACCTTTTCTATGCTCCTAAAACTTGCTAGGCAAGACTCCCTGCTCCTCACTCTCTGAACCTTGTCTCCAACCCCAGAGAGAAGATACAGCTTTTGTCACCATATCTGAGTACTCGCATCTCTCTCTTATCTCTGACTTGCAGTTTTAACAAGAAGAGTCCCTTGCCCTGAAAGGTGAACATGCTCACGGCCCCGCGGTGGCCTCATCTCCCATGCACTGCCTTCCCTCCCTTCACCAGCTACTGTCTCCATCTCACCTCCCACTGACACTTCAACACTGTGCTTTCTGGCTTCCTACTTCTGTCCCCTCTGCAACCCTCCACGTTAGTCGCCATAGGGCGCCTGTAACTATGACCCGTGAAGACATTCAACACCCAGCAGCATTTGTCAGTTCTGTCCCCTCTTCCTCTGGCTTCTGGGAGAGGACCGCCTCTTGGTTTTCTCCTGCCTCCCTGGCCATACCGTCTCAGTCCCCTTTTCAGGCTCCTCTTTCTCTATGTGACTCTGCAATGCAGGCTATCCATCCAAAGCTGTCACCTTTCTCCCTCCAGACACTCTCCCTGGGAGACTGCAGCCACACCCTGGCCCCCCCTCCCTTTGACGTAGGGCTACCCCTGATTCCATTGCCCATGAGTCAAGTGCTGGTAGCACCCCACCCCATGGGTACCCCAGAGGCACTTTAAACTCAACAGGTATAATACTGACCTCAGCCTCTTCCCACCCAAGCATGCCCCTCCATCCGGGTCCTCCATCTCCAAGAACGGCACGATAAGCCACCCACTTGCCTAAGTCAGAAACCTGCACCACACATTGAGCCAGGTAGTGAACTGGCTGCCAGTTCCAATGGTGAAAAAACAAGCAGAGTCCGGCTTCCTTGGAGGTTACAACATGGCCAAAGCGGGGAGGGCGGGAAAGACATGGATCCAATACTAACACATAGAGATGCAAATTTGTAACTATGAAGAATGCTACTGAGAAAAGCTCCCCAGCCCTGAGAGGGCCTGTGATGGGGAGCCCAGTGTTGTTCGGGATACAGCAAAGGCAGCCCTCAGGCTGGGCCAGGCGAAACGAAGCCGGAGGAGGTTAAGGAGAAGTCAAGAATCGCTCCGTTTATGGCCTTTGCAATGTGGTCAGATGGAGCCCATGTGTCTGGGCGGGGGAAGGACAGGAGGGTGAATTCTTCTTGGTCCATGTGAAGACTGACATGTCTGTGAACATCTAATGAGAGATGTGGCGGTTGGATATGTGAGCCTGGGCTAGGGACACCAACTTGGGAGCCAATGGTATGTGCATAGAATTGGAGGCAACTGTCCAGGAAGAGAACAGGGGAAGAAGGGGAGAGGGTTTGGGATGGAAGCAGTCTTCAACCCTCCCTCTCGACCCGGGCTGAGGGTCAGCCTGACTCTCCTGCTGCTCGCTATACACCAGGAAGGCTCTGAAGCTGCTCGGGACACCAGCAGAGCTGTCTGTCTGTCTGTCCCCAAGAGAAGAGCAAGAACATCAGGGAAGGGAAGCCGAGCAGTGACTGCGAACCAGCGGGAAGACAAGCAGAGAGCAGCCCAGCCAGCTGCTGTCTTGAAAGGGCATCACGTAACTTTGACTGTTTTCCTAAAGGACAATCTTCCTTGGGAAAGAAGATGAGAGGTTTAAAGAAGACAGGTGGTGTGCGCAAAGATCAAGGGGAAAATTAACCATAAATCACGCCAATGCTTCGTGAAAACATACAAGCCTTCAAACAATAACATAATTTGTAAGAGTGGCAAGTTCTTAGTATCCAGGCAACCTGAAAAGTTGCCACCTCATCAGCTTTGCATCAAGTCCCCAGTAGAAGTGAGAAGGGCTCCCTAGCTGGATTTCCCCTCCCACCCCACCCATTGGGAAACACCAGCTCATCCTAGTCCTTACCCCCACCCCAAGGCATGATGCTTGTTCCTGGGGCTGTGTGTTTCTGAAAATGCTGGGATGGGGTAAAAGCGATAGTGCCCAGGTGAGCTCAGGACTGCCCCGTGACCTGAATGGCCCAGTTAGAATTGTCCCTGCAGCAGAACTGGACCTGTTGGGACTGGAAGTGCACCATGGGGTGCAGAGGGGCCCTGGGCCCTGGGCAGAGGCTACCTAAGGCAGGGAGGGAGAGGGGAGGTGTGGGGCAGATGCAGAGCCTGGGCCACTCCAACCTAGCCGACTTCACCTCCACACTGGGATGAAGAGCCCACTCACCCCTCCTTCCCTCTCCCTTTGGGATGAAGCCCTTCAGCTAGCTAGTTGCCCACGCCAGGCACGTGGACTTCATCTCCGCCTCCTTCCTCTCTCCTGACAGTCTGTCCATTGCCAAATGCTGCCGATGTTTCCTCCTTAGCTTCGCTCCAACTGCCCTCTGAGTATCCCGTTTTTATTACACTCTTCTGACCCACCCAACACAGCTGAAAGAGCCTCTTAAATGCTTTTCTCTCAACTGTTCTCCACAATGCTGTCAATACGTGTGATTATTTTATTCTCCTGCCCAGGATCTCTCTGATACCTACAGGATAAAATCCAAATGGCAGTCACAGTCCTTCTCCATCATGCCACGTTCTAATCTACACCCAGACCCAGACCCAGCCCCACACTGTCCACGCCCTGCCATGTCCCAGATACACAGGCTCTTCTCTTATCATGACCTCATCCCTTGAATTAAGTATTCCTCCTACTTGGAATATCTTTGCAGACTCCCCATTCACCCCTATCAAACTCCTACTCACTCTTCAAAACCCAGCTCATAAAGTCTCCTTGTCTCTCTCCAAAGTTTCTCACTCCCAGCTCTGTGCCCACACCTGCCCGTCAATCTCTCCACTGCCACAAAGGAGAGATGTACTTCAGCTTATCCGTGAACTTGGTGGTCTCCACAGGAGGCCAGGAACTCTTCACGGCTGTTCCATTTTTATAGGTACAGGGTCTGGCCAGGTGCAAGGACACTGCACAAGTGAATCAAGAACATCTCTCTAAAGCAAGCTCCAGGTGAAGACAGCCTCAGCCCTTCTGAATCCCAGGTCCTCCTCGTGCCCTTGCCCTCTCAGGAGCCCCATGGGCATCGCAGAACTCAGATCTGTACCAGCATCACTGGCCTGAGTGCCCAGCTATTGGCAGCCACTGTCCCCATTCCCACACAGGCACAGCCCTAGCTCCCTAGGGTCTAGCTCCCTGAACGACTTTGTCAAGGGAGCATCACCACACCAGGGAGCAGATCAAGCATGAGGTCCCTGATGCTGCCTCTCTGTGGATGGGCACTGGATGCAGCCATTTTCACCTACATCCTATACCCCAAAGCTGCTGCTCAGGCTGCTATCTGGCAGAAAATCGTTATAAATACTATTTGTTATTTAAATTGTTATAATAAATCATATTGTATTGAAATAATACATTATATTAATATATAATGAATTAGATTGCTATAATAAAGAACAAGACTCTCCTCCCCCAGCCACCCTACAGGCCCAGGACTACACAGCAGATTGAAGGATGGAGGGTCTGACACTCACCCCTGATGCAGGATTGGCTGTCCAGCCCAGCTCTGCGGTGGCTGTCCTGGTGTCCATTAAAGTTTCTGCAAATCAAAAAGGAGAAATCTGGTGAGTGAGAAGGATTGCTGGACAGTGGCCCTGAAGTTTCTTCTGACAGTGACTTAAATTTCTTATGACCGTAAATGTCAGTGCCAGGGGCCTTGGGCCCCTCTGCGAACCAGAAAAGGGAAGAAGTCTGCCAGAATGACACAGCTCATGGCAGAGTTGGATGCAGACCTCAGTTCTCCTGATGGTATGTCCACTGCTCTCTCCCCAAATGACCCCAAGCTGCCTGTGTGGGGTGAAGTCATCTGCCCACCCACCACTTTACCCCCAAGACATGACTTCTTCCCACAACACCCTACAAAGACACACTTCCAGGGCCATGTTGACCCAATAGCCCAATTTAATTCCTTCCTCAGGCCTTCCTGGGCCATCTCTTTCTGCCTTCCTCCTGCCCAGTGGCTGCACCTCCAACCTCACCTGTCTATCCTACCCTCTCCTCTGCCTCCCTCTCTGGCACCCGTGTTAACACCCTCAGGTGATTTCCCATCAGCCCCTCTGGCCCCAACCATTCTCCCAAAATCCAACCCTCCTGCAGGTCGCTTCACCCTTGGGGTCCAGATACATGCCCACTCCCTTCCCTAAGACTCTTCTGGGGGCTCACACAGCTTTGACAAAGGCCTCACCCAGAAACAAACGCACGTCTCAGATCCCAGCACCGTGCTTCATGGTTACCAATCCCTCTGCCCAGTAATACAAGGACAGACATCCTGACTCGGCTCTGAGCTCCTGGGTGACTCCATCAGAGTGGCGACAGTACACACGCCAAGATCATCAGGTGCCATGTGGTAATCACAGAGTTGTTATTTATAATATTATAGCAATTTTCTGCCAGATAGCAGTAATGTGTCCTAAGAACGGAGCACCACTTCCTTTTTTTTCTCTTCAATCTATTGACCACTATCAGCCCCCATCTCTCAACAGAAACTGCTCCCCACAGGCTGCTCATCAGCTCCCAACCAGCAAACCCAAAAGCCTTTTTGCTTTTTCACAGCTTTATTGAGGTATAAATGACATATAATAAACTGAGCGTCATTAAGGAGTACAATCTGATAAATTCTGACATATATTTACACCCATGAAACCATCACCACAATCAAGATAATAAATATATCCATCATTTCCAGAAGCTTCCTTGTCTCTTCGTAACTCCTCCTTCCTGCCTGCCCTGGCCCCATGCTGTCGCTGTCCCCAGGTAGTGACTGATCTGCTTCCTGTCACTATATATTCATTGGCATTTTCTAGAATATTATATAAATGGAATCGCATGACATATATTGTTTTTTATCTGGCTTCTTTCACACAGCATAATTGTTTGAAGATTCATCATGTTGTTTTGTATATCAATAGTTCATTCCTTCTTATTGCTGAGTAGTATTTTCTTGTATGGCCGTACTGAAGTTTGTCTACCCATTCACCTGTCGTTTCCAGTTTGGGGCTAATCCGTGACGGTATATGAAAGTTCCATTTCCTCCACATCCTCACTGCAGTTGGCATGGTCAGTCATTTTTAATTTGGTCATTTTAATAGGTGTGTAGTAGAATCTCATTGTGGTTTTAGTTTTCATTTTCTTAATGACAAATAATATTAAATATCTTTTCACATGCTTATTTGCCCTCTGTATATTTTTTCAGCGAAGTGTCTGTTCAGTATTTTTCCAGTTTTAAAGTGGTTTGTTTTTATTATTGAGTTTGGAGAGTTCTTTATGTCTTTTGGACACAATTACTATATCAGATATATGCTTTGCAAACATTTTCTCCTACTCTGTGGATTGTTTTCTTCATTCTTCTAACAGTGTCTTTCAACAAACAGAAGTTACAAATTTTGATGAAATACAATTTTTCATTTGTTTTCTTTTATGGCTTGGTATCATATCTTTGCCAAACCCCAAGGTCACAAAGATTTTTCTCCTACCTAGGTCTATGCTCTATTTTGAGTTAATGTTTACATACAGTGAGAGGTATTAATGAAATGTACAAGTCTTTGTTTTTTTCACCTGGATATCCAGTTGTTTAAAAGGGGTACCTTTTTGAAATTCACACAGTGGTGCTGTATAGGCTGGTGGAGGTGTCTTATCCACCTGGATTTCCAGAGGCATGTATCAAAGGAACAGGCACAACACCTCCTAGCTGCACAGGTGCTCCACAAACAGGGATGGAGAAAACATACATGATATGTTGTATTGGTGTTTTCCTTTTTCCCCCGAACACCCCTCCACCTCATGTGACCAGCCATTCTGTGCTCCCTGCTTCAGGCAGGAGATGAGCAATATGAATGCAGAATGCAGAGTGATAAAATCTAGGAAACGGAAGGACTCCTGGTGTAAACCAAAGGTGTGAGATGAAACACACCTTATAGGCAGGACTGAAGGCATCAAAGTAGAAGTGACGAATGAGGAGCTATGTTGAGAAAAGGGGATCCCTTTGCTCCCTTTGCTCTTGTGCTCAATCCCAGAGAAGAGATAGATGGTGGGAATCCATTGAGGTGACAGGGCCTTGGACACCCCAGCGTGGTGACGGGATAACTAATGACCCCACCAGGTTGACGTGGGACAGATGGAGCAGAGGGAGCCTTAGCACTTGACCACGGTCTAATGAAGGGGACCCAGAACCACCTAGTGGTGACCTGTGTGGACTATAAGCAAGGGTCAGACCAGGTACAGGGTATCTCAAAGGGTACCCATGTGGACAGGAGCTAATAGGGCCAGTGAGGCACCCTCCTCCACAATTGGACACTGGATAGCCTGTCTGTAGCCTGGATAAGGTTTCTGGCACCCCAGTGGAATGGGGGATCAAACTGCAAACTGAGGGAGTAAAGGAAATCAAGCAAGCTGTATTTTCTTGCCCGTTTGAGTTCGAGTTTGGGTTGAGAGTCATAGCCCATGCACAAATGAAGGAACGCAAGCCCTGGAACAGACGTGTCAAGTTTGCTTTCTCTTCCGAGTCTTTTGACAGCTGGGGAGGCTGATCCCTGCATGGAGCAACCCTCCCTTTCCTCCTCATCTCCACTTCACAGCACTAATAATGATCATAATGACACACCAAATTTACATAACACACTTCTCAAAAGACACTCCACGAGTCTCTGAAGAAATTCATCTCCATGATTAAAATGCCTCTGCCAGGTGGCCCTGAGGCAGGAGCTGCTGAACTCATTTGGCAGCGTTGTTGGGGACCAGGGCACAGAAAGGTGCAGAATTTTCTACAGGGTCACACAGCCTCCCACACTGAAGCTGCTAGCCTCAACTCTCAGCACTTGGCCCACTAGACAGACCTGGGCTTCGGAGGGGATCTGCTGTGACCCTGGGGTGGGGGAGTGGGGCTCCTTGCTCATAAAACTGAGAAGCCACAAAAGCCCCCAGAATAGTGCAGCCCCCTCAACCTCATGATCATGTTGAAGTAACGGTGAAAAGATAGGAGAATACAGGCAGAGAGGAAATTTAAGTCCAGAATCAAAAATAAGAATCAGCCTTCACGCCTAAGCCTTCCAAGGACTGGATTGTTCTGATAACTCCATTAATACAATCTAAGACTTCATTATATTCATAGTCACCTGCTGAAGGGCTGTAATTGAATCTGTTTCCAAATAATGTTTCCCATCCACCCTAGTGGACAGAAATTGCAGCAAAAAGAATCTATTATTTCGCATCCTGCCCGCCATGGAGACGCAGACCAAAAAACCGTAAACTATCCACTCGATATGATTAAGGGCAGTTTCTTTTCTGGCACAGAGAGCCCCTGATTATGGCATTACACTCTGGTGGGGGCTGCATAAAAGTGATTTGAGGAGGCTTACATCTCCCCAGAGAGGAAGGGAGCTCTCATTTGCATTTATAAAGCATATTGAGAGTTCTGGCAGAAAGTTATGGTGAAAGCACAATTAAATATTTACCATCACTTCTGCTCTCAAACAGTGGCATGGGGACCAAACCAGCTGGAGGTGCATGTGTTGCTGTCAGATCTGATGCCTACAGGGGACACAAGTCTGGGACCCATGCCCATCGCCTGGCCTCTGCCCTCTGGGACCATGTACTCACTGCCCACGGGAAGAGAGCTGGGAAGGGCACACATGGAGTGGAGAGAGGCGGAATGGGTCCA